GAACTTGATCAAGAGTTATCTGACTCCCTACCTAATCAACGATAAAGAAGCTGAACCTATGTTTATCAAAAAGGCTAACGATTTCATATCCTTCAAGTTTTGAGATATACAGTTTCTCGATACCATGAAGTTTTTGGGTGGAGCAACATCTCTAGACTCCATTCTCAAAGCCTACAAAGCAAGTGAGAAAAAAGAGTTTTTCCCTTATGAGTGGTTTGACAGTGCAGACAAGCTCGAGAATGAAGAATAACCGCCATACGAAGCCTTTTTCAGTAAATTGAGAAATATCAACCCTCTTGATAAAGACTTTATGGATTGTCACAAGTTGCGGTCAAGTGAAAGTGATGAGCAGCAAGCACTAATGAAACTTCAAATCAAGTCAGTACCCGCATCTGGATGGAATAATTACAAATATTTACAGGAGACTTGGCAGAAACTTTGAAAGACTACATTTAAAGATTTTTTGCAGTGGTACAACAACAAAGATGTTGTTCCAATCATTGAAGCAATGCAATAAATGTTCAGTTTTACCATCAAAAAGAAATTGATATGTTAAAACTTGGTTCTACTCTTCCAAATCTGGCAAATTTTTTGTCGGCTTAAATCAACCAATGAAAAATTCTACCCTTTTTGCGAAAGTCATAGAGATTTGTGCGAGAAAATTAGAGAGGATATGACGCGTGGACCATCAATTGAGTTTACGCGAAAAGCTGTTGTGGATGAAACTGTTATCAGGGATTCATCAAATATATACAAATCAATTGTTGGAATTGATGCGAGCCAGCTCTATCCCGATTCAATGTGTCAAGACATGCCAACAGGATTGTACACAAGATGGGAGTTTGATTCCGATATGCAAAAATTCAAGGCTAGACATAACCGAACTCGCAGTTTTGAGAACATGGTCATGTCTTACTACCAAGAAAGCAGACCAGAATGCAGAATTGAGAGCTTCCACACATCTGGAAATCAAAAGAAAATTTACTGTTTCAATGTTGATGGATTTTGCTATCACTGCAAAACAGCGTTTGAAGCAATGGGATGCTATTACCATTTTTTTCCTAGCCAGGAGACCCGTCCCTTACTAAGCGATGAAGATATTGAGAGAGGAAACAAAAGCAGAGAGATGGATGACTTGAGACGTCAGTATATTCGCGAAAAAGCATACAACATTGAAGAGATGTGGGAATGTGAGTGGTGGCAAAATTTCAAAACGAACAAAAAAATAAAGAATCATATCCGATCCAAATTTCCCTACAAAAGACCTCTCTCTACTGATTCTTTATTGGAAAAAATAAGAGATGTATCTCTTTATGGCTTAGTTGTTCCACACGAACTGAAAGCAAAATTTTCTAACTTTCCTCCAACTTTTAAAAACACCGAAGTTGGAAGAAATGACATTGGGGGAATTATGCAAAACTATGCCATTGAAAATGATCTTCTTAAGCATCCCCAGCGAATGCTAATATCTAGTTTCAAACTAGAAAATGCATCCATCATTACTCCTCTTTTCAATTTCTACATGGAGCTTGGCTTACAGTGTACAAAAAATTAACGCTTTGTACAGCATCTCCCTCAAAAATGCTTCAACGAGTTTGTTCAGTCGGTTGATGATGCTAGAAGGGAAGGAGATGAGAACCCTTTATCCTGTGTCTTTGCAGAGACTATGAAGCTTTTAGGTAATTCATCCTACGGTTACCAGATAATGGACAGATCGAGACATACGATCACAAAGTATTTAAATGATGAGAAAACACACGAAGCCATTAATGAACCACTCTTCAAACGATTGAACACCGTTCAGAAAAATTTGTACGAGATTGAGTTACTAAAGTCAACAATTGAGCACAAAGAACCCATAATAGTCGGATTTTTCATTCTGCAGTATGCAATGCTGAGAATGCTTGAGCTTTACTACAATTTTTTCGACAAATTTTGTGTTGTAAATAATTTCGAGGAACTAAAAATGGACACGGATTTGCTGTATTTAGCTCTTGCTGAGGAAAATTTTTATGATTGTTTTCGTCCGGAGAAAAAGGTGACTGGGAAAAGTTGAGAGAAAAAAAGTTGAGAGAATTTTTTTTTCCACGAACATGTTGTAGCGTTCGTAAGAAGCACAATGAACGAGAGCCTGGTCTGTTCAAAGAAGAATTTAGGTGTACAGAGATGCTATGTTTTTGCAGCAAGACTTATTGTTGCTATGACAACAAATCAGACAAGATGAAGTTTAGCAGCAAAGCATTGAATAAAAGAATTCTAGAGGAATTTGGTGATGGTCCTATTGAAACAAAACAGGAAAGTACTCGACGAAGCAATCAACTTGACTTCAACAAACAGAGGATTTAGATCCATTAATCAGATGGTTGCTACATACGAGCAAATAAAGAAAGGATTGAGCTACTTTTACCCTAAACGACAAGTTCAGGACGACGGAATACACACAAAACCTTTGAACCTGTAAATAACTGATAGTGTAATAGCATTCAATTCAGTATTGATTAACTAACTGTGAACTTGTGGTAAAATGATTATACGAAGCAGTGATTTATATACTTCATCTTTTGAAAATAACATTTTTTCAAAAAAACATGATTTTTTTCTCGAAGTTTCGTTAGGTTTCAGTATAGCTTTAGATAATTTTCTCGTTGAATCGAGCCTATAAAACAATAATCAAAACATTTAAACCGTAGAAGCTAGCTAAGAAATGTAAGTATCGGCAAAATCGAGCTCAAAAAATTCGGGCGCCAAAAATTTTTCTGAAACTTACCATCTTACCATCTGAAACCTACTATCTTAATACATTGAGAAACCTATTCCCTGTCCTAGTTCATAGGAAATCTATAGCCTATCTTAATACATAGTTTGGTGACCGGATGCTGTATTCCCTATCTTAATACATGGGGGGCATTAACCACCCCACCCCCCCCCCCATCTCTGATCAGCTCACTTTTCTACTACTAAAGTGTTTGTTGCGGAAGCCGCTTACGATGCACAAAATGCACAGTTTGGCCTCGTAATGACTCAAAAAACTTGATTTTCTGAACTTTCAGTAGGTTCAGCAAAATTTCAGGTAGATATAGCCCAGTTGCGAAGAGCAAGATCATCTAATTAATTAAATATTAAGGGAAATTACATCAAATCCTAACGTGTTTTGAAGCTTTTAGAAATAATTTCTTTTTTTTTATAAAATATTTTTTTCCCAATCACTCTAACCATTGATTTACCATGAACCAAAATTGTGATTACAAGACCTTCATTCCACAATCTACATGTAATTATTTATTGATATTTACCAGTTAGAAAACGCGTTCCGTAGTTTTTGCGAAAAAAACTAAGCACTTCCACGCAAAATCCAAAAAATTACAGTTTTTCGTACCATTCTCTTCTCATCACTCTGAAACCTTACCAACCCTATTCCCCAATTGAATGAATTGTAGACTCTATACCCAATTCTAACACATAGCTTGAAGACCGAAGGTTCTATTCCCCTATCTTAAAACATGGAGGTCTCCAGGGGACCCCCCCTTCAGCCCCAACACCACGACTGAAGTACAAAAACTTTATAATAGGTTTTGTCACATTAAAGTGCCTCGTCATTGCACTATTTTATGAGATGCGTTTTCCGAGCTGAGGTATTGGACTTATGATTTGCAAACACAGAATCTCCCGGGTCGAGATCCCGCTCAGAAACCGCTCATGATTTGAGCGGTTTGAGCGGTTTTCCAGCAAGATTTGAACGGCTTGGGCGGTTTGGGCGGTTGTTTTCGAAAAGCCGCTCAAACCGCTCAAATCTTGCTTAAAAAACCGCTCAAAAACCGCTCATTTCTTGCGGTGATTTTTGAACGGTTTTTCAAGCAAGATTTGAGCGGTTTTTGAGCGGTCTTCCCGGGTCGAGGTCCCAGACTCATGTCCATACTTTCGCGACAAAACTTTGGCATGTCCAGACTTTCCAGACCAAAACATGGCATTTCCAGACTTTTGCGACCATGATGGCTTTTGCGTTCTAAATTTTGCAGTTTCCCTGGAGCTTCAAAAAAGTAATTCATGTAGGGGCGAATTTAGGGGGGAGGGGCAGTGGGGGGGGGGGGGGGGGGGGGTGGAAGTTTTCCTTCAGGGATTTGACCCCTTGCCAAAAGCAACAAAACAGAAACAAAGTAACTGTATTAAGCAAAATGATAAACTAATGAAACTTTGAAATACAAAACGCTACAGATGGTTGTATAAAAACAAAATCGTATTCTTCCCATGTAATTTATATTGGCTTCGCTGCGCGACACTAGTTTCAGGGCAGCATGGCCTAACGGATAAGGCGTCTGACTTCGAATCAGAAGATTGGGGGTTCAAATCCCTCTGTGGTCGACTTTTTATTATTAAATTTTGCGCGGTTTTTGAGCGGTTTTTTTAGATAAACCGCTCAAAACCGTTCAAATCTTGCGCGGTTTTTGAGCGGTTTGTTTAGATAAACTGTTCAAAAACCGCTCAAACCGCTCATTTTGAAGCAAGATTTTGAGCGTAATTGTCTAAAAAAACCGCTCGAACCGCTCAAATCTTGCTTCAAATTAGGTGAAAAATCTCGACTCGGGCTCTGATAAAAATTAATGAAGAAAGATAGTCGAAAACATGTTCGAAACAAAATCCAACACAACGTGTTGTCAAAACATAGTCGAAAACAAAGTCGAACACAAACTATAATCGAAATATGGTATAAAACAAAGAGTGGTCGGGGCATAGTTGAAAACAAACTCGGCCAAATTGTAGGCGAACAGAAAACTAAAACATAATTGAAAATTTCATTGAAACATAATCGAAAACAATTTACATCTGTCAAGTCGATGAAAAAAAACAGGCACGTTCAATTGTGTTGGTCAGAACATAGGTAATTCGGGTCAAGTCAGTCGAAGCATAGCACGCTTGGTTCCAACACAGTCGAACTCATTTTCCTTCAATATTCTTGGTCGAGTCTGTCGGATCATAACTCGAACATTCCATTTGTATTGCAGACTGATTCATCAGGAGAAGACTACGCAGACACTGATAGACAAAGCGTATAAAATTAAGGAGGATATCATAGAGAGCATGAACCTGTCACATGGCTCGTGGCAGAACGAGAAGGAGGCCAGGGCTCTCCTCACAGACCACATCCGCAACATTACAGTCATCGTCAAGAGACTGTCTCGAGAGATAGAGGTACAATTATGACATTTTCATAACCTACTCGTCCCATTCTTAAAATTAGATCCCCATATACTATGCTGACGTAGTTTTTTTTTTTTTAAAAGACTGACTTCAGCGATCCACTCACAGTGTACACAATTCAAAATTTATCTGTCTGCAGTTTGAGGCCAGCTGATTGTTCATATTTCATTCCGACTTTCGCGGAAATAGATAAAAATATGCTTGGTGTAGATTTTCAGATCAACTTCACTGCAAAAACTCGTGGGGATCGCATCGCAAATCATCGAATTTCCAATCAAGTGTGATTCGTTTTGCCCATAACTTCGACAAACTAGGAATACAGAAAATATTGACAAACTTATGAATATAAAGCTGAATTTAAAAAAAAAGCATTGAAATAATGCGACCAATTAGCCTGCCTCAAAGCTAAAAATTTTCGCCAAAAACTTTCAGCATCATAGTATCACTCTAGCGCTCTCATAGTTACATTAGTCTGTTAGTGAGCGTTTCACGGAAATCTTTTACCCAGGACAATAGTTAAGGGCTGAGCGCGGCCCTTCTTGGACCACGAAAAATCCATGGATCGAGCCCAGAGTGAAACATTTTTGAGAAATGGTTGGAATAAACAAAATCACCCAAAGCACCCAAAGTATAGATACTCTTTACTTTCTTCGAAAAGCGGAACAGAAACACACCAAGCATAAACAATCCACACTTTCTTAGATATTTGGACTACTGGACTACTAGTTGATAAGACTCCTGTTTTAATTTCAAACCTGATATAAGTCATTTCCAAACTTTTTTCGTCAGAAATTAAGTTGAAAACTATTCGAGACCTGTTAAAATATTCTGATAAGCATAAAAATAAGCACAAAATATTCTGATTTATGTGCTATTAGTTCTCGTCGCCTATACGACTAAACTTACAACGCTCGCAATCCAATATGATTGGCTTTTAGCGGAGAAAGAGTTTCAGGAAGTTAATAAACACTGAAGCTCAATAGAATGTATGAAGCTCAATGAATCACTGGGGCTCACATAATTCTTCAAATTCAGATACGAAGATCGTTGTTTGAATAATATCTATTCGTCTGTCTTTTTTTAAACAACCCAAATATTTATCTGGTTACCAGGACTTTTTACTGGGCAGTTTTTTGAGCGTTGGCGACTGTTGTGAAGAATCTTGGTTCGGTTGTGATGAATTTCTTCAATGAAACTCATAAAATTGTATGCTTTATTTTAATTTTTTTTGCGAAGTGAATTTTGATTTTTTTAGTTCAGTTCTTCTTATATAATAAATGAAAGAAAGGGAAGTCGGAATGCGCTATGAACTCAATGTTTAACTGAACACAATGCTTAGGATTTATCAGGAGACAATGTTCAAAAAGCTATCGAGCGTAACCTTTAGGAAGCATACAGCGCAACCATCAGAAGAAGATGAGCTCGATCCAGCTTCAAGGCTAGACAGTAATTATTTTATTTCTGTCTGGAACTTGGACTGTCACAAGTTCAGTCTGGAACGAAATTCTTAGAAACAGCAACCTCCATGCTAAGAAAAAACATTTTGCGAAATTTTTCGATGTATGAAATAAATGAAAATATTTCAACGTTTCATAGCTTGAAAGAAGCTTCCACAGAAAAAATTTTTCGTGAGCCAAATCAGTCCATGCAATAACTTAGAAAAATTTAAAGTTTACAAGTTTTAAATAGCTTGCATGGAAAAACTTGAACTTTTCGCAAGCCAGATTGCTATGTTAAGTAACTTGAAATATTTGATTTCATTGCTTGAATAGATTGCTAAAAAAGTTAGACTTTTGCAATCTGAATCGCGCTATGAAAGAACGTGAATGTTTTATTGCTTTAACAGCTTGCCTGGAAAAACTTCACTTTTTAGCCTATTTAAAAGTGTCATAGCTTGAATAGCTTGCTAACAAAAAATTCAGTTTTTCGGTAACCGATTCGTTCTATTTTTTTCTAACTGTTCTATTTTCTATAACTTCAATTTTTCAAACCGATTTACGATATGGCTTAACTTGAAAGTTTTCTTAGTTTTTTGCTTGGATAACTTGATCAGAACAAAAACTAATTTTTTGCGAGCCCATTGGTTTTTTGGAGGCAAGCTTGCTAGTTTTAACCGAACAGCAAAAAAGTAAAAGTCATGCTAAACGTGATCAACCTCTACAATCGCATGAATATTTTTCAAAGCAGTTTTCTTTATTCAAAAAGTCAGAGAGCTTGAGAACCAAATTTTTTAAAAAGAAGTCTTTTTTTTGTTTTCTTTTGTTAGTTGACTTATATCTAACTGTCTGTTTGCTATATATTCTTAACGTTTTGCCTGCTTCGTTTTTTGTCCAAGCTCTGTCCATTGTAATTGTCAATTGCCTTTTAAACGGTTGCGATGGTTTTTTTCTCAATACGGTTTTAAGAAAAGTTTGTAGACCTGTTGGCTGAAAAAAGTAAGCTAAAGATAACAACAATTTTTTGGGATACTGAAGTAACTGTCAGGGAACTAATGAAAAATATACTTGATCAAGGTAAATGAACGAGGTAGAAGGTTTTTCTAGTAACAAGTTTGAGTACAAAGACGAATGCATTGATCATTCGGAAGAGTCAGGTATGTCAACACAGTTTTTATGTCAACACAGACTTAAGAAAAACCAACTCATTGATTTGAAACAGCGTTTTGAGAGATATGTTAATACTTCACCTGTTTTGGATTTAACAGCAGTAAATGTGATTTGAATTTGATCAAGTCCTCTTATCGGTTATCTTCTTATATAGGTTAACCTCTTCGGGATACTTAACTTCTTCTTTAACTTCCTACTTCGGGATAAAGAACAGGAATCATCAGTCATCAAACCAGCGAACGACTTTATACTTTTCAATTGTGGAAATGTACATTTTCTCGACATAATGAAGTTTCTGGATGGAGCAACTGCTCTGGACTTTTTTTTCACAGAACATATAAAGCTAGAAAGACGAAAATATTCTTCCCCTTTGAGTGGTTTAAAAACCCAGACAAACTTGGTTTTCCCGATTTGCCAAGGTATGGAGCCTTTTTCAACAAACTTGAGTTAACAGACCTCTAGACAATGATTTTATTGGTTATTAGAAGCTGAGAAAGAGTAGCCCTGACAAACAACAAGCAGTGAAAAAGCTTCAAATCAAGACTGCACCTCCCTCCATCTATTTTGGATGATTACGATTACTTACGAGAGACTTGGAAGAAAAACAAAACGACTCTGTTCAAAGATTTTGCAGTGGTACAACAACAACGGAACAAACCAAAAACGATTGATTTTTATCATAAAAAAAGGATAGGATTGTTGAAATTTGGATGTACACTTCCAAACCCAAACCTAGAAAACATTTGTCTGCACATATCTATAAATTATAAAAAAAAAAATTATAAAATTTAAGATTTGTATGAAAAAATACAAGATAAAAAGGCGGGTGGTCTTTGGATTGTGTTTATCTGAAAAACTGTAGTTGATGAGACATCAAACGTTTGGAAATCAATCGTTGGGATTGTTGCAAGTCATCTTTACCTTTACTCAATATGTCAAGATGTGCCAACAGGATTGTACACGTGATGGGAGTTCGACACCGATATGCAAAAAAAAAGCTAGACATAACCGTTCTCGAAGTTTTGAGATTACAAGAATGTTTTTCTACCAGGAGCAGAGGCCAAAACAAAAACATGAAAGCTTTTTCAAATCAGGAAAACAGAATAAAATCTACTTTTTTAATGTGAACGGTTATTTTGATCAGTGTAAATTAGTATTCGAGGCACTGGGTTGTTACTACCAGTTCTGTTACTGTCAAGAAGCTCGTCCCTCCTTAAGAGATCTTGATAATGACCGAGGTAAACAAAAAGAGATGAATGATACGGGACTGGAATACATAAAAAAAGAAAGGATACAATTTTGTAGAAAAGTGAGTAGTGGGAAAACTTCAAAACCAATGATAAGGTCAAAAATCATGTCCAAACCCTTTTTCCGTACAAAAAACCTTATTCTACGTTCTACTGGTTCTTTTCTTGCAAAAAAAATCTGGATCTCTCTTTGGTTATGTTCAGTGTGATTCAATTCTTCCAGAAGAACTAAAATCAAAGTTTGCCAACTTTCCTCCAATTTTCAAAAACAACGAAGTGTGAAGAAACGATTATGAAGGCTGCATGAAAACTATGCAACCAAAAACGAGATGTTGAAAAAACCTCGGAGAAGGCTGATATTTAGTTTTAAGCTGGATAATGAAACAGTTATAACCCCTCTCTTCAACTTTTATTTGGAAATTGGTTTGCAGTGAACCAAAGTTTATCGTTTTGTTCATTATTCTCCTCGAAGATGTTTCAATAGTTTCTTACAAAAACTTTTTGATGCTAGAAAAGAAGGAGATGATAACCCATTATCAGAAGTAGTAGCAGAAACAATGAAACTTTTTTGGCAAATCCTTTTATGGATATCAGATCATTAATAGATCCAAGCATCCGACTACGAAATAACTGAACGACAAAAAATCACATCAGGCAGTCAGTGAACGATATTTGTTCATGAGACTGAATACAATTGATAAAACATTTTTGAGGTGAAATTGTTTATATCAACCTATGAACACAGAGAATCCATCATTGTTGGATTTTTCATACTGCAGTATGCAAAGCTGAGAATGTTGGAGATATACTACAACTTCTTTGAAAAGATCTCAGATATAAGGAATTTTGAAGAGTTGAAGATGGATACTTGCTGAAAAAAGTTTGTATTACTGTATCCAACCAGATCAGATAGCTGCTCGGGAAAAAATGAGAAAAAATGATTGCAGAAGCTCTTTCAAGACAGGTGCAAAATCTTTTTTTTTTCAACAAACGTCTGGCAGTATCCATAAAAATATGTAAACGGGAGCCGAGACTTTTCAAAGAAGACATTAGATGTACAGAAACGCTATGTTTGTGCAGTAAAAGTTATTGCTGCTATTACAACAAGTCAAATAAATTCAAACTCAGTAGTAAAGGT